AAATGTAACTTACATCACCAGAGCCTTCAAAAAGTTCATTTGCAATAGCATCTCTATCATCATCCACTTCCTTTTCTTGTTCTTCCTCTGATTCTTCATCTTGAATCCTACGAAGGCGTTTGAAACGTTTCTAAAGTAAAAAATTATATCACTTTATTTGTTTAATTTTATTAAATATTTTATTAAATAACTTTTAATTAATTTATACATACTCTTTCAACTTTAACTCCCAAATTTTCTTCTATCAAATCATAATCTTCATCTTCTAAACGATCATCGAAATCTTCATCGTCACTCTTTTTACGTTTTTTGGATGCTCCAGAAGCATCACTATCTTCTCCTTCACTTTCTTCTATGGGATTATCATCAATGAGATCTTTAAGTTCTTCACGTAATCGATCTTCATCATCTGTAAGCAATTGATAGATATATCATTGACATTTATTAATTATAAAATAAAATGTATAATATATTGTAAATTTAAATACAAAATAAAGTTTATGAAATATCATGATACAACCTTGGAATGTATTACTCTATCCTCACCTTCCTCCTCTTCTTCATCACTTTCTGCCACAGCTTTTATTTTCTTCAATTTTTTCTTTTCATTATCGTCTAATTCCTCTTCCTCCTAAAATAATATAGTAAAGCATTGATCAGAGATATAACTTTTATATGATTAAAGAATTTATATATATATATATATATCATGATATTAAAATTTAATGTTACATATACCTCGCTTTCTTCTGCTTCTGAATCTAAAAAATCGGCCATTTTTTTGACAATAAGTTTTGATTCGAATTGACAGAATTCACTCTAATTCGCAACAACTTAAACGATTGTAGATGAGACGAGAGTAAGAACTTAACTTGGATCCAACTAGTTTAGGAATCTGTCGTTAATAGGGAAATTATCAGTCTTCATATCTCTATATGTTACCCTAGTAAAAGACAACAGAGTTATCTATATAAATTAATTAATATTTTCATTTTTTTGTTGATTTTTATTTTATAAATTATTTAATACATTTCTATTTATTCTTGTTTATTTAATTGATATTAATCAGATTTTGAAATTTTAATTTAATATTATTAAAAAAACAGTATAATATGTCATACTATATTATTGCATAGTTCATGTTCGCATCATACTTGTCAATTTAAAAAAGTATCAGTTAAATTTTTTTTAACAAGTGATTCATTTTGGTAAGAGTTAAATATTTATTTATATTTTAAATTAATATAACTTTTTACATATATAATTTAATATAAATTTTTTAAATTTGTACAATTAAAGAGAATTAATAATATTCATAGAAGTTCGAATGGAGGAAAGTTTCAGTCAGTGGCGCGATTCGCCTTGTGTTATTAAAGAAAAAGAAAAGTCTTTTGTTATTTCGGACAGTGACGAAGACGAAAATAAAAATATTGAAAAAGAACAAATTTTTGTGATTGAAAGTAGTGATAGTAGCACAAATGTTTCTTCAAATTTAACGCCGAGAAAGTAAGCAGTATCTTTTACAAACTTAAATTTAATTTTCATTTAACTTAATGTTTTAATGAACTAATTATATTCTATTGTACTATGATTTTCTTTATAATTTAGATCTTTGTCTGAAAAATTATCATTAACAGAGAAAACAATAAAAAAAAGAATTAGGAAGCATATTTTTTACTCTGATAATGAAGATGCTAAAGATGATAATGATGAAAATGATTCTTTATCAACCAGTGATACCGAAGAGGATAATACTGATGATAATGTGTCAAATGGTATCAAATTTTATTAAGAGCAGAATAATTTTGAATTTAATGTTATTAATTTGATTTATTTATTAGATGAACAAATGATAAATATCAGTGCTGAAATAAAGGATGATAAAAAATCACAAGATTTAGAGAATAAGGAGAATATAGATGTTTTTAATATATCTAAAAACATATCAAACAATAACAGTTTGACTATGAAACATGTTTCTAAAAAAAAATCATATTCTTTAACTGATTCAGGTATAAATATTTTTGTAGTAGTTTTTCTCTTATTCTAAAACTATTATATTATTATAAATTTATTATATATTTATTGAATTGATTTCTAAATTTTTTCATATAGATGAAGAAAATATTCCACAATCTGACATTGCAATTTCTTTAGCAAAACAAGAAATAGGTGTTGGTAATATAGATCCATTAATTGCTCAAAAAAGAGCTCTTCTTGTTTGTAAAATGGAACAATTACAAAAAGAGTTAAACAAAACAAAGGTAAATTCTTCATTTCAAAGTAAGAAAGTGAAATATATGTATATTTTAGATGATATATATATATATTATTTCTAGCTATTGCTTACTACTGGTAATATTAGTTTATTACCAGATAATGGAGAAAAGTTACGTGAAAGTATTGCAATGCAAGAAAAACAAATAGAAGAAATTGCAATTGAATTAGAAAATACACCTTTAACACAAACTACTAAATCTATTGAAGAAGAATTTACTACACAAGAATATCCTGACAAATTCGATTCTTCTTATAATTCCGATTATATATCAATGAAATTGAAATCATCTCCAAAAGTTAAAGAACTTGGGAAAAAAGCTCAAGCAACATTGGACAGAGAATTAACTTTAACAGTCGATAGATTGCAAGATTTGCATGGATCTCTTGTAGCTAGACCGACGGAAGAAGAAAGAGCAAATGATCCTCAAGGTTTAAAAGTAAAATTAATGCCGCATCAACAACACGCATTAGCATGGTTAATGTGGAGAGAACAACAAAGACCTCCTGGTGGAGTTCTTGCTGATGATATGGGTTTAGGTAAAACTTTAACAATGATATCTTTAATTATAGCCAGTATTGCAAAAGAAAAATCAAAAGAAGATGAAGTATATAATAATGAGGAATGGATAGATAATAAGACACCATTGCAATATAAAGGTGGTACACTCGTAGTTTGTCCAGCATCTTTATTATCACAATGGGAAAATGAAATAAACCACAGATGTAAACGTGGTATGCTTTCTGTTGAAGTTTATCATGGTACAAATCGGGAAAATGTACCAAAAAGATTAGCAAGAAACGATGTAGTTATTACAACGTATAACATTTTAACCCGTGAATTTAAGACCAATTCCACGGTATATAAAATTCATTGGAATCGCATTATTCTTGACGAAGCGCATATAATTCGAAATCATAAAAGTCAAGCTTCTCAATCGGTATGTGGTTTATTAGCAAGTAAAAGATGGGCTCTTACTGGAACACCTATTCAAAATAAGGAAATGGATTTATATTCTATTTTAAAATTTTTAAAATGTTCTCCTTTTGATGATTTACGAGTATGGAAACGTTGGGTAGATAACAAAAATGCTGCTGGTCGTCAACGTTTAATAACTGTAATGAAAACATTAATGTTACGTAGAACAAAACAAGAACTTCAAGTTAATGGCATGTTAGAAAGTCTCCCGGAAAAATTTGTGGAAGAAGTATTTATAAAACTCGATCCGCAGGAACAATTGGTATACGAAAAAGTATTGATTTATTCTCGTACATTATTTGCTCAATTTTTGGCTCAAAGAGCTGAAAAAGATCACATGGTTGATTTAGCTGTCGGAAAATATGATAAACCAACGTTTCTGTCGAATCCAAGTAAGTGTATATATTAAAATCATATGCTAATAACACATCAAAATAACATACTATGTTTTTTTTTTTTCAGACAAAAATACTCAATTTACGATGGCACAGAATAAATTATTATCGTTACATGCGGACGTGAAAACGCATGAAATTTTAGTTCTTTTACTAAGATTACGTCAAATTTGTGTTCATCCATCACTTATTTATTCCATGTTAGATCAAGAAGATATGAAAGAGAGTGGAATGATAGAAACAGAAAATTTAGATCCAAATTTATTATCGCAGATCAATAATATGACATTAAAAGATTCGGAAAATAATGAAGAAGAGGACAATAAAATAGACATAGGTGTTGATCGCAGAGTAGCTACCAATTTACTTACATCTAAAAATCCTGTATTTAAATCTGACCGTATAAGTTCCAAGGTGAATTTTTTTTTTATATGATTTCATTTATAAGACATTATTCGATATTGGTTAACATATTTAATTTATTTGTATTTACATCTTGAATATAGATAAAGATGGTCCTTGAAAGGGTGAAGGAAATTTTAGAAAAAAATGATAAATTAATCATTGTTTCTCAATGGACAAGTACGTTAAATATTATCGCATCTTGTTTATCTTCGATAAAAGATGCCAGTTTTGATATGTTCACGGGAAATGTACCTATTAAGGAAAGACAGGTAATTTTAAAATGAATAATATTTTTCAGTCATATCGAGCGATATTATTTCAAATATATGAAATATTTTTACAGGGTATAATGGATTCGTTCAACACTCCAAACAATAAGCCAAAAATATTATTGCTCTCACTTACTGCAGGAGGTGTTGGATTAAATTTAGTAGGTGGAAATCACTTATTGTTAATAGATATTCATTGGAATCCACAATTAGAAGTACAAGCTCAAGATAGAATATATCGTTTTGGACAAAAAAAAAATGTGTTCATATACAAGTTAGAAAATATTATTAAAAAATTTTTTAAAATTCGCAGCAAAACGTATCATTTTATTTAATTTAATTTATTATTTTCTAGATTTATTTGCAAAGACACAATAGAAGAACGTATAAAACATTTGCAAGAAAAGAAAATGGAAATAGCGCAAAATGTTCTCAGTGGCGATAAAAATTCCACTGTTTCGAAACTCACGCTTGATGATCTTAAATCACTATTTGCTCTTTAAAGTTTAAATTTTTAAAGAAATTTTTTATTTTTATAATAATTTTGAAATATAAATAGAAAATTTACTTTTAAATATGCAATGAGATCAATCATCTCTTTATCTTTAAGATAAAGATTCTTCAAATTATCATAATATTAAATCATTTGTTAATTCAATTAACAAGGTAAGTATCTCTGATTTATTCAAAATTTTTATTATGAAAGTGAAGTACATCGTGTCATTTATGTGTGGAGAAATCATTTGTTTTCCATGTGTCTTCATTAGTATAACCATTTTCGGGTAGTTTCGTGTGTTTATCTTTTCTCATTTTACTATGCCAAACACCATAGAAAAAGTATATTCCAAGCCCTACAAGAAATAATAAAATCTTTTTGTTTTAATTATATTAATTCAAAATCGTTATTTCTATTGATATTCTTTACTTACCAATTATCATCCATATTAAAAATCTTATCCATGTCATTTTATCTAACATCATCATGAGATAAATATTAATAATAATACTGAAAGCAGGCAAAAATGGCACCAAAGGAACCTAAAAATACATGACAAAAATTATTATTATATATTAACTATTTAACTAAACGATAACGAAAATAATACACACCGAAAATGCAAGATTCTTTCCAGAAGTCGGTTGAAGATAAATAAAAATAAGAATAACGATAAGAACTAATAGCAGAATTGCTAATGGAACGATAAGTGTTATTTTACCATTCATTATTTCATCAGTAAAAATTGAAATTATAATACCGATGCAAATACATAGGATAACTATAAAGAATACAAATTAATAGCAAATATAACATTATAAAAAGTTATATTGATCGATCAAAGTGATAAATATACCATAACACACAACAAGGTAAGTAACGATTTGGGACGTTAATTTCGTAGAATGATTTAATCCATTAGCGTTAATTAACTGCCTCGCAATGAATTTCAAGGTTCTTGGATCACGGTCCTCCTTTTTTTGATAGGCTTCGCTTTCCTCGTATCTGAAACAGTCCAAAACTAAATTAAACTGTCATCAA